AAGAACAAAGGCTTGAGGCTCTCGGAAATGACGCAGAAGTTCCCCCTCCCAACAGTAGGCAGTGCGTACACTCTGAGCTGTTTAACCCTGTAAGCTCAGGTTCTCCTCACAGAGGCAACCAGTATTCCAGGTGCATAGGGGCAGTATGGTACTGGCAGTTTTATTTTCACTCTTATTCCTAATGATCCTTGGCATGGAATATAGCTCTCTCTCTCCCTCCCTCTCTCTCTCTCTCTCTCTCTCTCTCTCACACACACACACACACACACACTGCAAACAGCAGGCTGAGCACCTGCAGACATTTCTGCGGCTTGGAGATCAGGTGCTTGGGAAAGCCTCTGCCTCTCCTCTGCCTTTCCCCCTTTTTGTGGCTGCTCTCAATGGTGCAGAAGCAAGGGCAGTGAAAGCAGTTGGCAGCCCCAAGCTCCACAGGGCTCTCCTTGGTTTGGGAGCAGAGGCAATGGGTGACCTGTGCAACGCCCAAATTCAGCACCCCTCTGCCTCCTCAACATAGTTGCAGTGTCCCCAACGGTGCTCTGCGCCCAGCGCAACTGAACTGGTCCCGCTCCCCTAAACCTGCCTCTGGCGGAGGCTGCACGTCTTCCAACACACACAGACCCCGCCCTCCTTTGGAGGCAAAACTGGTGTGTTCAAAACCCTCCTGGTGACTTGCATGGAAGAATTTGGCTTGAGATTTTCAAATCTTGTGGAGTTCTTGATTCATGGATAGGAGGGCTATTGACATCTACGTGCCACGATGGCTCTGCCCTGCCTCCACAGTTGGAGGCAGGAATGCTTCTGAATGCCAGTTGCTGGAAATCACAGGAGGGGACAGAGGGCTGCTGTGATTGAATCCTGCTTGCTGGTTTACCAATAGATGCACCTGGTTGTCCACTGTGAGAGCTGGATGCCAGACTGCATGGGCCCCTTTGGCCTGAACAAGCAGGGCTCTTCTTGTGTCCTTGGCCTGTTCCACTTGCAGTTCAAGGCACCCATTTCCTCTGTACTCCCTGAACTCTGTAGCACCCTTGTTACACAAGCCAGGCACGTTACCCAGACCTTGAAACAATTTGCACCTCTAAATAGCTACTTGGGACCAGTGCTCTTTGTGTTGGAGTGTTGTGCACCAAAGGTCATCGGTCAGAGTGACATGGGCTTGTAGGTGTCTCTCACCCCCCAGCCTAATTCCTCTTGGAAAGCTTTGATGCCAGAAAAGATACTTTCTGTAACTACCAAGGAGTTAATTGTCAGCTTCAAGCAGTGGAGTTCTAGCCCACATTGCATCCTGCTGTTATGAAGGTTTCCAAAGACAATTAAAAGCCCTTCTCCTTTCCCCACTAGCCCCCTCCCCCCCCCCCACGGATTATACCTCTTTTTGGCTGTGAACCGAGGTTCATTGCCTAACACCATCAAGCAGCGGGCTCCAGTAGCATCATGTTTTGATTGGTGTGAGCTGTCTCTGCTTAGGTCTCCTGGATGAGATCTGTGCCTTGGCCATTAGCATGAAGGTCCTTAAAGCAAACTCTCAGTCTGCATGTGCAAAGAGGTGATCTCATGACAAAAAGAGACTGTGGGAATTGCACTTTGTTCATGTTCATTTCTTCCTTGTTTGCACCATGCACACACTTTGAAACAGGTATTACTTTGTTTGCACTCTGTGGGCTGGAAGAGATAGTGCTTTGCTTACACCCTTGTAGGACAGGGAGGGAAGAGGAGACTCCTGGCAAGGTTGAAAGAGAAAGTGGTAGCCTCTGAGGTCTGGGTTGGCTGGCTGCAGATTCAACCGCTGTCCTTGGGGCCCGTCTGCCTAGACTCGTGCTCAGTTGCTCATCTGCAAAATGGCAACAATGGGGGCCTATTTCCCCTCTAGGTTTGTTAGGTGGGCAGGCGTAATTAACGTCTTTGCAAATAAGGAGCACGAAGAAGAAGAAGAAGAGGAGGAGGAGTTTGGGTTTGATATCCCGCTTTATCACTACCCGAAGGAGTCTCAAAGCGGCTAACATTCTCCTTTCCCTTCCTCCTCCACAACAAACACTCTGTGAGGTGAGTGAGGCTGAGAGACTTCAGAGAAGTGTGAGTAGCCCAAGGTCACCCAGCAGCTGCATGTGGAGGAGCGGAGACACAAACCCCGTTCATCAGATTACCAGTCCACCGCTCTTTTTTCCCCCTTTCTTTCTTTGCATCCTGACTGCATTTTATTAAAGGATGTATTTTATCATTTTGGATCTCTCACCTGCAGGCATTTCTAAAGCATGCCTCAGGAAATGTGAACTTAGAAAGCAAAGGAACCCCCTATATTGAGAATGCCAAAAAACCAAAAAGTTTTGTGAATGAACTTAGAGCCAGTTCTGTATTTCAATATATTTAATCATTTGAAATACACATTATCTTTAGGACCCACATCCAGCCCCCAAACACATACTGCTCTTAACCACTACACCACACTGGCCCTCTGCTAGCAACAGGAACTGCTTGAGTGGGGCAGCTCCTGGGATTATGCATTGGCTGAGGCAGGAATGTTGAGTCTTGGAAGTCTCCTGCAACTCCACCTCCCATTCCCTGAGTAATGTTTCTCCTGGCTCCTGCTTTATTGCCACTCTCTGCTGGGGAATCCCAGTGTCCTCTGCTTCCCTAGTTCCACACCCATCTTTTTTCTATTATAAGTGCCTTGCACAATGGGTGCAGAAGCCAGAGCTCTCGGGAGGAAGCGTAGGGCTGTGTGTGTGTGTGTGTGTGTGTGTGTGTGTGCATCTTCACAGTCCATGAAATGCTCTGCTCACTTTTGCCAACACTGTTGTTACGGAATTGAAATGGAGGAAACTGGCAAAGGAGTTGATTTTAGATTATTGTTAAAGCTAGGTAACTTCCCTGAGCTGTCAAGTCGAAAGGATATATTTATGCATAATATTTGTAACATTTAACAACTTGAAAGATGTGGGCCCCCCCGTAATTTCCACAACACTGTCTGTTGGAAAACGCCCCCAGGAAGGGTGCCACTCTCTGGCTGGAAATTGCCCTCAGTCCAGAGAGACGGGTAATAAGCGACCCCTCCATCCTGAGAGTAGCACACTCGTCTTCTGGTATCCCATCACAGAAGAAAGAAACAGTCAGCAGTCTACACACTACTTTATTTACAGACTGTACACACAGCTCTCATCCAACATGTCTGCTCTCCTGAGCAGCAAGCACAGAAGTACGACTCAACACCTGCTTCACTCAGAAGCGAAAGTAACTCTCCAGTTACATGAGAACAAGCAGAGACTTCCTGTCTCACGCTCACAGACATCACATGATGTCAACAACCATTGTGCTGCTCCTCGCAGCTGGTGAGATATAAAAATCCCAACACTGTCAAGGTGTCTGTTGCAGGAGAGTAGCAACATTTTGAGGAAGCAGGTGGACTGAGGGGAGCTTGAAAGAGGGTCAAGGTAGCAAGTAGCACTCTTTTGTGGGGCAGAGGGAGAAATGAGGGAATGGCATAATGTAACTTTGTCCAAACTGACACTGCCCAGAGCTTTTGGGACTATGACAAGCTTGATTGGGAGTCAGTTTTACTTTCTCTGCTGGATTTTGGATTTTGCTGTGGTATTTTTGACTGTCCTGTGTTTCAGCTGAACCCTTCCCCCCCAATAAATTTTTATTATTTTCTTTACACATTCTTTCTTTCAATACATTAATCAACATATAAACATTTTTGCTCTGCCGAGCTTGTGACTTCCCTCCCTCCCTTCAGTTGGTATCCCTTATCAAATCCATTCGCGTATTTTATCTTTTCACATCTTCTATCATCTACATTGTAGGAGTTACTTCAGTCCTGCTAGTGTCTTTAGATTTATACAGCTGTCCTTTAAATATACAATAAATTTACTCCAATTTTCCTGGAATCTCTGATCGTCCTGATCCCAAATCATTCCAGTCAGTTTGGCTAACTCCGCATAGTCTGTCATCTTCGCCTGCCACTCCGCAATGGTAGGAACTTCTTGTGATTTCCAATTTTAGGCCAACAAAGTCCTTGCAGCAGCTGTGGCATACATGAATAATCTTTGATCTTTTATCTTACAGGTAATCTCCTTTCCCATCAAGCCAAGTAGAAAAGCCTCTGGCTTTTTGGGGAAGGTATATTTTACTATCTTCTTAAGTTCATTATAAATCGACTCCCAAAATGGCTTCACTTTATCACACGTCCACCACATATGGTAATATTCTCCATCCACTCAGCTGAACCCTTTCGGGGGGTTGGAATAAACTTTTTATTCTGCTTTGCCCAGAGAACTATACAATGGGACAATTCACAGTTATCTAAGTACGTACACTAAACTAATAATAAACTGCCCTGCTTACTGAACTGTTCCTTTTTTGTGGGGGGGGGGAGGTGCCCCCTGACACTCACCCGTCCATCCTCAGTTTCACTTCTGCCTCCTAGACTGAAGATTGTTCTCTGCGGGTGGTGTCCCTGGAGAAGCTGAACCCCTGGCTTGGCTGTGCTGGCAGCCGCCTTGGGCAGCGGGGATGCCAGGATTTGCTTTGCATTTGAGGGCGTGTTTGTGATGACCTGTCCTCCTCGTGGAGGCATCTGGGTACTTATGGGCAATCTTGCTATACTTGGTGCGTTATGTCCTCACTGAAACTTTTGCAGGTACAAACTGCTTCCTTTCCAATCAGTGCCTGTCCCATAACTTCCTGCTGAAATCCTGCAACATTGCATACCACAAATGTTCCTATTTGCTTATTTGTTTGTTTTGTCCCACTTTTGTTGAGCTATAACACAAGAGATGCCCCTTCAGGTGTCAAAAATATGGGAACTTTGGGAGAACTTTGTCCAGAACAAATCCACCACTAATGAGCTATTACTATTGCATAAGACACCTGACAGTGTGTGTGTGTGTGTGTGTGTGTGTGTGTGTGTGTGTGTGTGTCTGTCCCTGGTTTGGAGAGGCCCCAAAGTGTTTTTTGGGGAGTTTCATGTATTCAAAGCACATCTTGCAAGTCTTGACAGAGGAAGGGCCACAGCTCCGGGGGTAGAGCACCTGCTTTGCATGCAGAAGTTCTCTGGTTCAATCCCCAATGGCCTCATCTTGAGGTAGGGCTGGGGTCACCCCCTTCCTGAGACCCTGGAGAGCCACGGCTGCTGGAGGTGCACGTACTGTGTCTTGGAGGGCAAAATGTATCGACAGCAGCCTCCTGAGAGACGCTGGCCTTTTTGTGTGCAAACAACGGGGTGATTTTCCCTCCCTCCCTCAGGGATGTTGGACGGGGGATGTGCCCAGCAAGACACTGTGTTGAGAACTGGGCGAGATGCTTGGCCCAGGAAGGGACTCAGATAAGAGTGCAGATGAGCCAAGCAGCCATTGTTGCTCTCCCGCTGTGGGCTGCGTTTGCTTTGCAGCTGGGTGGTGGGGTCTCCAAAGCCAGCCTTGCTGAGCTACCCCCACAAACTGTCCCTGGAGCTCGAGGAGGAGGTAGGGAGGCCGAAACAATTCATTGCACTTCCCTCCTTCTTTCTTGCCTTCCTTCCAAGGGAACCTTAAAGGCCAAGAAATTTATTGCTGCGACTCCAGCTCACTCTGCCAGATGCCTGAATTGAAATCTTAGTTGGGGGAAATGGTATGGTGGGAGCGGAATGGCAAGGAGATGCAAGAATTAGTCAGTGACACTTCCGCTTGAGGCGCCACGGAAGATGGCTGACAATACCATCGCTCCAGCTCCCACGAGGTAATTAGAGGCTGAGATGGGAGTAATCAGCCCCCCAAATTCTTCCTGGTGTAAGGGAAGATGCAGTCTCATCCGCGGATGCCCAATAAACTACCCCCAAGTTCGTAAAGAAGGAGGGGGTGGGGGCACTGGATGGAAAGCCCCCAAGGGAGTTCGGTGCGAGCGCACCAAGTTCCATTTCTTAAGATGAAAAAATGGATTTAAATTTTGGACATGCTTCAAGTGAGGAGGGGGAAATTAATCTGCCAATTAAGCCAGCCACTGAGGTGCCAAGAGTGATGGAGAGGAAGAAAGAATAACATCTAAGAATAACATCTAAGTTGGTATGTTGGAACGGAATGGAAAAGGAGGGGGGGTAAAGCCTTTTTTACTATGATTTATTACAATACCTGACAAATCCCCTCCCCCCCAAGAACTGTTTACATTATTTACAGCAAGTGAGATTGGAAAATATAAACTGTGTGGAAATAACAATACTATATAATTAAAGCTTTTGTTTGTTGAATTGCTTGGAAGAAGATAAAAGACCCTCCAAATATTGATATTAGAAAGAAGCAGGATCTTGTTAGCCGCTGGAGAGACTTAAAAAAACTTTGGACGGATTATGAGAAGGGTGATGAGGTGCATTATTTAAATGAGATCCGCCATTATGGGATAAGACCGAGCTGCAGAGATAAATAGTCATAGGGGGAGGTGAGCTCTTAATTTGTTATTATATCTACACTTTAAGTCCGATTTGGCAAATCTCCCCTGGAAAGGCTAATGTTTGATGCAGCCGGTTTGGGAAAATTAATGAGCAAATGCCTAGATTTGATTTCATCGGAACTGAGAGAAGATGGCGTCTGCCAGCAGCGAAATGACTTTTGGATTGATTTGGCATAAACACCAGCGTGTGAGGAGATACTGTAACAATAGGAGAGTCAAGTACACAAAATTCACACAGAAACACATCATTGCTTACTTCATCTCGCCTGTGGAAACAACTCAGAGGCCATGAAAGAAGGAAGGTTAACAACAGGAAGATTTAAAAGAACTATTGGAAACTCAAGGCAGCAGAGATATAAGATGATCAGAGCACCCCCAAACTTGAAGCATGGGAAGTCCCAATAAAAATTTATAATTTGGCAAAATATTCGGACTATATGATATGTATTTGTATAATTTGGAGTATTTAATGTGATTTGATTGGATTGTTAAAATGGAAAATTTGATAAAAAATTATTAAAAAAAAAAGAATTAGTCAGTGACAATTAAGGCTTAAATATATGTTCAACTGGCACACCTTTAACCTTTTACAGTAGCAGGTTGGTGATAATTGACCTAGAAGCCACTGAAGGACACTTTGCATTTGCCCCGTGGAGTTATGGCAGGGCTGGCTCCAGGTTTAAGTGGGGCCCATGTGTTTGCTGGTGGGTGGCCTTCTCCATTGGTGGCCCAGGTGGGCTTACCTGGCTGTGGGGACCAGCCTTCTAAGCACCTCTGGTTCTTAGGTGCTTTTAAAAGATCCCAGAATGGTGTTAGGTCAGGTGCTGTGCACAATTTTTTTAAAAAGTGGCTGTATGTAGCCACAAGGCACCCATCAGTGTGTCTGGCTGGGGGCAGGGGGGAATTACAGGGTGCATGGTAGGCAGGCATCCTCAGTAGGTCTTGCTGAAGTCCTGGGGCCCTGCCTATAAAGTGAGAAAAGAGTCCTTACATCAGATGCATAGCCCTGTTGCCTCTCGTTTAACTGATCTGTAACACCTAGCAGGACCTGGACCTGGAAAGGGCCCCAGCTCAGTGGCAGAACATCTGCTCTGCATGCTGAAGGTCATGCCACACTTGTCAAAGCCCTGGAATATCCGAATGACTCAGACCATTGACACCAAATGCCCTGGAGTTCCTTCTCCTGCTTAGGAAACAAGTTAGGAAGTGGCTTGAACATGAGTGGAGAACTCCGGTCAGATTCTTGCTCTTGATGGGGTCACAGTCCTTCTGAAGAAGCAGGTATGTAGCTTGGGGCCCTGGATCCATTGCTGTCACTTGAAGCTAAGGTGGCCTTGGTGGTGTGGAGTACCTTCCATCAGCTTTGGCTGGTGGCCAGCTATGTCCTTATCTGGACAGGGAAAGCCTAACTTCTGTCGTCTATGCATAGTTCAGCCTCTGAAGATGGTTTGGAAACTTAAGCTAGTGCAGAGTTTGGTGACCAGGTTGCGCTCACTGGGACAAGACAATTTGAGCGTGTTACACTGAGGGTGACCCAATGGCACTGGCTGCCAGTTAGTCTCTAAGCCTGATTCAAAGTGCTGGTTTCGGCCTCTACAGCCTGAATGGCTCAGGACTGCAGTACCTCAAGGACTGCCTCTCCCCATATGAACTAACCTGGACCCCAAGATCATCCTCTGAGGCCCTTCTCCATGTGCCTCCTCCTTGAGAGGTCCAGAAGGTGGCAACATGAGAAGGGGCCTTTTCTGCAGTGGCTCCCCATTTGTGGGATGCTCTCCCCAGGGAGGCTCACCTGGCACCTGCATTCTATATCTTTAGGGGTCAGCTGAAAATGTGTTTCTTCAGCCAGGCATTCTATGTCCTTTTAAATGTGTTTGTAGGAGGAAGGTTATTGGGGGTTTTTTTTGGTTTTTTTAATGTATTTTGTGTTCTCATTTTGTATTTTTATGTTGTGAATTGCCAAGAGATTTTTGGATGAAGGATGATATACAAATGCTATTATTATTATTATCATCATCATCATCATCATCATCATCATCATCTCAACTATTAATCCTCTTTGGAGGAAGCTTCTCAGCTATTTTCTTTTCCTCCTCCTCCTCCTCCTCGTCCCAGGTGGGTGACCAGATGAAGCTGCTGCAGAACTGCTGGAGCGAGCTGCTGGTCTTTGACCACATTTTCCGCCAAGTGCATTATGGGAAGGAGCACAGCATCCTGCTGGTGACAGGCCAGGAGGTAAAAGCACTAGTGTTTGCAGGTTCCACAATGGCCATTTTCAGAAATACTGCCGCAAAATGTTGTAGCATGAAGTGCCACTGCTGCAGCTCAGGATTCTGGCCACTTCCTTTCCTTTCCCCATGCCCACCCCCCTTGTCTCATCTCCCCCACCCCCAAAGGTTGGTCAGCCTTCTTTGCCCACTGGGCTTCTGTTTTTTGGGGGAGTGTGTGTGGGCGTTCCCTCTACATTCTTCCGCCCAAAATCCCACCACCACCACCAAGCATGGGTGGGACAGTTTTGGCTACATAAACAACAGCACACATGGAGAGCTGTTATTGCTGTGGGTATATAAGAACGATGATTTGCCAGGAATGTACAAAGTGTAAGAGGACACAGGTCCCCTGCCCCACGGGAGAGGGAGATAGAGGCCGGAGTAAACATGGGGGTGGGGGAAGAGAATCTGCAAGTACTCCATTGCACATATTTAGACTTTGGGTTGCAGTTCTCTGAACACTTACTTGGGAGGAAGCCCTATGGGATGCTAAGGGACATCACTTGTGAGTCAGCCTGCGTTGGATTCCTGGCTAGTTAGACTTTGGTCGTTATTGCTTATCCTTCTGTGTAAAGCCAGCACCCAGATATAACCATATTTATTGTAATTTAGGCAACAACTGAGTCCATTAACTGCTTTAAAGCCTTAACAGCTGATTGCTCAAAAGTCTTTCTGATGGAGGTTGTCCCCCACCGCCCAGCTCTTGAACCTCCTTGTTCCCCTGACAAGATGGTACTTCTTGGGGGTCCTGAGCCCTGCCCACCTCCCCTTTCTTCCAGGTGGACATGTCGACCGTTGCCATGCAGGCGGGATCCATCCTGAACAACTTGGTGCTGAGAGCGCAGGAACTGGTGCTTCACTTCCATTCTCTCCAGGTGGACAGGCAGGAGTTTGTCTGCTTGAAGTTCCTCATCCTCTTCAGCCTTGGTAAGTGCCAAGGGGTGTGGATGGGGCAGCGAGACACCTGGGAAGAGCAAACAGGGGCTGCCATGGAGAGCTTTGTGCTTCAGCCTCCCCCCCACCCTGAGATCTCAACCACATGAGGTGTTTGGAGGAGACTTGCTTTGCTTATAGGTTCGTCTGCCTGGCGGGTGGGGCTGGAAGCAGAGCCCCCATTGTCTTTGCCTTCTCCCTACTGCCAGAAGGACGTGATAAGAGCCTGGCTGCTGGACCAGGTCCATCTATTCCAGCCTCTTGTTCTCATAGTGGCTAACCAGCTGCCCAGGCAAGCAGGACATAAGCAATGAGCCCCCCCCCCCCTTGCGGCTTCCAGCAGCTGGTAATCTGGAACATTGCTGGACAGCCCTTTCCAAAACATGGATGTTGGTGGTCTCCTTGAGCATGTTGTTGAGAGCTGAGGGGGTGAGCGGCAGTTCCTGTTCATCTGTGTTTGTGTCCAGAGGAATTCAAGGACAGCCTCGGATGTGGTCAGCCACACTGGAGATTGCAGGAGATTCCAGCCCTGCCTATTGCCCAGAGGAACTGTGCACAACATCTGACCTTGACACAATATATGCAGGGAATGTGGGAGTGCAGTCTGCAGAGGAGCCAGGTTTGGCTTGTCTGGTACCTGCTTCTGATCCCCGCCCCCAAAGACCCCTTCTTTCTGCTCAGAAGTTGATTTGCACCAGTTCAGGCAGCCTTGCCTCCTCCCCTCCTGCGCATGGCAGTGGAGCAGGGCCGTCTGTGTGGGTATGAGCGACACCTCGCCCCCCACAACCTCTCCTACAAATAGTTGCACCAGCAGTGGTTGAGGGTGGTATTGGCTGCATCTGCTAGGCCTGCAAGGTTGCACACCAGCCCTGGGGCGGCAGGGGTCAAGCAGTGACCTTTTCTGCACTGGGAAGCTGCTTTGTTAGTGCTGAAGTCTCAGGCTCTTGGTCTGTCCGGCCCAGCGTTGCTTACACTGACTGGCAGCAGCTGCTGCTCTTTGGGGTCTCAGGCTTGCGGTTTTATCCCAGCCTCTACCCATAGAATGCCATTTGGCAACTGAACCCAGCAACTGAAATGCAGAGCTTCTGCCTGTTCTGTGGAAGTGCTCAGCGCTGCAGTTCTCTGAGGAAAATGACACCAGCAGCAGTATCCTTCCTGACGTTTGCCAAAACTGTTGTCCAGGCTCCTTTGAGAAAAAGGTTCAGAAAAGTTTCCTCCTTTTGGCAAATGCTGTGTTTGCCCATTTCATGCCTAAAACCTGCCCAGGATTCTGTACCTGAATTGTGCAACCTGAATGCAAATCAAGCCTCTTTATTTTGCATAAATCGAGCCGTGAGGCTGGATGAGGCCAGTGGCCCACCTAGTCCAGCCTCCTGTTCCCACATTGGCCAGCCAGGTGCCCCTGTGGAAAACCCACAAGCAGGGCTTGAGCACATGAACACTCTTCCGTCCTGCCAGAGCTATAGCTAGGTGATCTTGCGCCCCTGGCAGAACCGTCCAGATTGTGCCCCCTAGCCATGGACAAATTAGCTCTTCTTTCCACCTCCCCCCCCCCATTCAATTCACTCTCTATTCTTATGAGGCAATAATCAATATTTATATTTATGGACATATTTTTAGCCAATTTTGAGGCCCCCCATCACCTGCACCCCTGGCGGGGGTCCACCTCACTACCCCTAGCTATGGACCTGCCTCCCATCAGCCAGTTATGACCCAGCTGCAGAGTGGCACAGCTGTGAAACGGTTTCATGGTACATTCTGTACGGCATCCCTCTAGGGACGCTTCCTGTAGTGGTCAAGAGACTAGGGTATGGAAGTCCGAACCGCTAGCTAAAGGTTGCAACTTGAGCAATAATGGTAATTAAGAACTGGTATAGACACACACAGCTCTTCTAGCTCCTTGATCTTGAACTCAAAGCATGAGCTCCATAAACAGACAAAAGAACGTTGCAGGTTTGGCTGCTTCAGATTTAACACACTCAAAAGATTCTAAATACCACCAATTCCCTGCCTTGTCCCTTAGCCACATGGTGCAAAGCAACAGGAACTGCAGCCGTCCCCATTCCCAAAGAGAGCAAGGTTTCAAGCTCGGGAACTGAGCGAAGGCAGCAAACAGGGTTCTCTCCATACAACTGGAATGCAGAGGCACCTCTGCTTCTGACAGTGGAAACGGAGCATAACCATTGTGACTAATCATCATCATCATCATCATTTCTTATTTATACCCCGCCCATCTGGCTGGGCTTCCCCAGCCACTCTGGGCGACTTCCAACAGAATATCAAAATACAGTAATGCATCAAACATTAAAAGCTTCCCTAAACAGGGCTGCCTTCAGATGTCTTCTAAAAGTCTGGTAGTTGTTGTTCTCTTTGACACCTGGTGGGAGGGCGTCCCACAGGGTGGGTGCCACTACCGAGAAGGCCCTCTGCCTGGTTCCCTGTAACTTGGCTTCTCACAGTGAGGGAAACGCCAGAAGGCCCTCGGTGCTGGACCTCAGTGTCCGGGCAGAACGATGGGGGTGGAGACGCTCCTTCAGATATACTGAACCGAGGCCGTTTAGGGCTTTCAAGGTCAGCACCAACACTTTGAATTGTGCTCAGAAACGTACTGGGAGCCAATCTAGGTCTTTCAGGACTGGTGTTATGTGGTCTCGGTGGCCGCTCCCAGTCTCCAATCTGGCTGCTGCATTCTGGATTAGTTGTAGTTTCTGGGTCACTTTCAAAGGTAGCCCCACATAGAGCGCATTGCAGTAGTCCAAGCAGGAGATAACCTTTGTAGTAGCTTTTGTACTAGCCTTTGATAGCCCTCTCCTCCTCCTCCACGAATCTGTCAAATCCTCTTCTAAAGCCATCTAAGTTGGTGGCCATCACTGCCTCCTAGGGGAGAGCGTTCCATAGTTTAATCATGCACTGTGTGAAGAAGGGCTTCCTTTCCTCCTGCCGGAAGAATTCTGGGTCAAATGATCTTCTTCAGAGCATATAAGACAAGCTCTGCACTTGGGTCAGGCCAAAGGGGCCCATCGAGTCCAGAACCCTGGTCTCAAAGATGCCCCAATGGGCAGCCCATAGGCAGGACCTGAGTGCCAGTGCACTCTCTTCTCCTGTGGGTTTTCAGCAACTGGTGTTTCTCTTTGGCTTTGCGGCAAAGGACACACACACCCCCCCGCCTCCATGATGCCTTCCCTTCCCTTTTTGCGCATTGCGTTAAAACTTCCACCTGCTGGTGTGGAAGCTTTTCTCCTTCACCGAAGAAAATCAGGAACAAAAGGTTGCCCTCTGCCCATGCCCCGTGCCCAACTTCCCTCTCTGAGCGTGGTGCCGATTATGCTGCAAGCCATGTGCCCTCTGCAGGCTCGGCTGTACGGGAGCTGCCACCTCCTCGCTTATATATGCCGGCTGTATTTGCCCTGAAGAAAAGAATGTCTTCTCTCTCTCTCTTTCTCCCTCCAGCTCACAAGCTGCACTTGGCATCTGTGTGTGTGTGTGTGTGTGCGCGTGCACACACACACACACACAAGCGTGCGAGAGGGGGAGGAAAGGGCGCCATTTGAGTCTAAATAGATTTTTCTCATGAGCAGGTAAAAGAGGTGGCGCCATTTGAGTCTAAATAGATTTTTCTCATGAGCAGGTAAAAGAGGTTTAATTAAAATTAGGGCTCCTCTGAACAGTAATATTTATGAGGGGCGGCACAGGTTAGCTTTGTTCTCCAGAAGGGCTTAATAGCAGCTTAATGGATCAACATCCCCCCTCCACATGTGCTGGCCTGACTTCCATTCTCCAGCCAGCCACTCGAGGGGATGCGAAGTGTTATGTACAGTGGACACTCGGGTTGCGAACGTGATCCGTGCGGGAGGCACGTCCGCAACCCGCAGCAGCACGTCTGCACACGCATGGATTGCGATTCATGCGCGACTGCCGAAAGCCGGAAGTAACCCATTCCGGTGCTTCCAGGTTTCGGTCGCCTGCAACCCAAAAAAACACAACCTGAAGTGTCTGTACCCCGAGATATGACTGTACAGTGGTACCTCTGGTTGCGAACGGGATCCGTTCCGGAGCCCCGTTCGCAACATGAGCAGAACGCAACCTGCGTCTGCCTGTCTGCACACGCGTAGGTCGCAATTCGCCGCTTCTGCGCATGCACGTGACGTCATTTTGAGCGTCTCTGCATGCATGAGCAGCGAAACCCAGAAGTAACCCGTTCCGGTACTTCCGGGTTTCGGCGGTCCGCAACCCCAAAAAACACAACCTGAAGCGTCTGTAACCCGAGGTATGACTGTATTAAGATCAGCTGCAGTTCTCACTCAGGGCCACCAGTATGCAAATGAAGGACTGAGAACTGTCCCTCACTGACTGGTTAGCTAGTTGGGAGTTGTTACTGTTACAAGTTACTTAGTATTATATAAAGCAGCCAGCTAGGCTGCAGTCAGTCTGACTCCAGGAGCAGTTCTAACTGCTGTAATAAAGAGCTGAGAATCTAACAGAGCTGTGTCCTTCATCCATCTTCCCCACTATTTAACATGGAGCAAGAGCGGCTTTTGTGCGCCTGCATTCCCTTAAGTGATTGCAATTTATCTGACGCCTCCAGCAGACAAAAGCGGCACTGAATGCAAAGAACTCTTAAGGGCAAAGAAATGGTCCCGGCAGCTCTGCCTGTGTGTGAGGCGGCTTTTGTCGCAGGACGGAGTATTTGCGGCCGCTCTCTCTCAGTGGAGTGCGTCAGTGTTATTTGGACAACATTCTTTATGCCTTACAGGAATGAAAAGATTATTCAAATATTCAATTAAATCGTGAATAGGGTTTCTTCTCCAAACCAGGTGAGTTGATCAAGACGAACCCTCTATTTTTGTGCCACCTCAAAGTGTGTGTGTGGGGGGGATGGTAGGGTAGAGAAGGCTTTAGCAGCGTAACTTCTAGGGTGTGTGAGTGTGAGGACTGCGTGTCCCCCCCTCTTTCTCCTGAAAATGAAAATCACAATACAGTGGTACCTCTGGTTGCAAATGGGATCCGTTCCGGAGCCCCGTTCACAACCTGAGCAGAATACAACCTGTGTCTGCGCGTGCGCAGGTCGCCACGTCTGCGTATGCGCGTGACGTCATTTTGCGTTCGCATGGGCGAGCGGCAAAACGCGGAAGTAACCCATTCCGTTACTTCCTGGTCGCCGCGGTACGTATCCTGAAAGAACGTAACCTGAACCGAATGTAACAAGAGGTATGACTGTAATGTTATGCAGATGAAGAGATTCCATAATTGCGTGCCTGATTATCCCAGCAGTGACTCAGAAATGAAAGGGGGCAGTCAGCACTTCAACTGCTAAGCACAAGGCCCAGGTCAGGGGAATGTCAAAAGAGCCCTGAGGCAGGATGGGACCAGTGGCCCTCCCCGCCCTGCGTTCTGTTCTCGCAGTGGCCAGTGAGATGCCCATTATGGGAAACCCACAAGCAGGGCCCAAGCGCCAGAGAGTGCCCTCTCCCCTCCTGCTCTTTCCAGCTGGTTCTCCACCTGTGGGTCCCCAGATGTCGTTGGACCACAACCTTTTGGGAAGGCCTTGTTGGCCTTTAGTTGGGCTGGATCCAGAACTTGGCACGGCTGAGAGAAGCATGTCCTGAGTGTTTTTATAGGGATGGGAGCCATGCAGTCCTCTAACTGCCATCAGCCGTGGCCAGCCTGGTCAGGGACTATGGGAGCGGTGTGTCCAGCAATGTTTGGAGGGCACCAGGCCTCCCAGAACTGCTTTACAGAGGACACAAGGGCAGGTCCCTGCCCCAAGGACCCTGCAGCCTAAAATTCTACCCAGGTGGGATGCAGCAGGAAGCAATATGTTGTTGTTGTTTTCAGTTACAGGTGGTTAGGCTCGGTTGTATCCCCTGGGAACTGTGTGCAAGCCTTAGGGTGAGGTGCCACTGAAGCCAGGCTGTCCACAGTTGTCTGCAAGACCCCTGGGGGAAGGAGATGTCTCTTGAGACATTGGCGGACACTTGAGGGCCTTTTGACAGCGAATCTGGGCCCTGAAGGAGGGCTGCCCCTCATGGTGCCCCCATCTCCAACATTGCTGCTGGATGCCTTGAGAGTCTACAAAATGAGAGCTTGCCACTGTCAGGAGTTCAGCCTACACTCGAGTAGGACCCTGGCAGAGACACATGCCTGACTGGCATGTTCTCCCCCCTCCTGGTCTTTTGTTCGGGAGCTTCATAAGCTTTCTTCAGCCCGAACATCACAGCGACCGATGCCAGCCGACATCGGCACACTTAGGGATCCGCAGAGTCTTCGCAGCATTGCGTAACAGACCTCAGGAACTCAGCATTTTGGCTAATCTACACTGGTACCTCGGGTTAAGTACTTAATTTGTTCTGGAGGTCCGTTCTTAACCTGGAATTGTTCTTTTTTTAAAAAAAATAATATTTATTATAGTTTCACAAAGAAAGAATCACATTAATAAAAAAGAAAAATTTAAGAATAAAAAGAAAAATACACAATACAAAATACAAAAGGAAAAAAGAAAAAACAAAGTAAAAAGAAAAAACAGTTAAAAAGAATTCCGTCTTTTCATAACTTCTTTTACATTTACTTGTTTCCCGGACCTCCTCATACCTCCCTCTTTTGTATTCCCATTCAGTTTGTTAATCCAGCAATTTCTTTCCCTCTTTTTTAATCCCAATCCTTAATCTTAATATATTATGACATTAAGTTTTAACCTATTAAAAACCAATTTTTCCATTCTTTTAACCTTTTTAATCCTAATCCTTAATCTTGATATATTTATAACTTTAAAGCCTGTACAGCTAGAAGCCACTTAACTTCAATCCAACATCACTCTAACATTCATTAATTTTGCAATATTTCTGTAAATAATCTTTAAATTTCTTCCAATCTTCTTCCACTGACTCTTCTCCCTGGTCACGGATTCTGCCAGTCATTTCCACCAATTCCATGTAGTCCATCATTTTCATCTGCCATTCCTCCAGTGTGGGTAGCTCTTGTGTCTAACCTGGAACTGTTCTTAACCTGAAGCACCACTTTAGCTAATGGGGCCTCCTGCTGCCACCGCGCTGCCAGAGCACGATTTCTGTTCTCATCCTGAAGCAAAGTTCTTAACCCGAGGTACTATTTCTGGGTTAGCGGAGTATGCAACCTGAAGCGTATGTAACCCGAGGTACCACTGTACTTTATTTACATACAGTATAAACACACACGGAGCACTGCAACATGGCTCCCTCCCTCTCTAGCATCAGACAGCAAAGAGAAAAAGAACAAAGGACAATAGTCCCACTTCATGGAACACAGTGACACAAACCTCCTGCCGCCGTCACTTCCCACTCTGTGGAGTCAAAACATATACCGTCATGTGATAAACAATCCCATGACTGCAATCATAGATCAGGAATTCTAACAGCCACTTCTCCAGAGAAGGTTCTAGGAAGGGATCTCGAGGAAAAGCAGATTTGCAAAAAGGCTCCCGGGGGAGGGCAATAGCTCAGTGGAAGAGCTTCCGCTTTGCGTGCAGGAGGTCCTGGGTTCAATCCTCAGCAGCATCTCCAGGTAGGTAGGCCTGGGAGGGGGCTAAATATCTCCTGCTGTGGAGAGCCATGGCTGCCAGTACGTGTAGACAGTACTGATCCTTTTTTTAAGAATCCCCCCCAATGCTTTATTAATTTTAAAAACATAACATTACAAAACAAATACAAAACAAAACAAGATGCATCAAGCCACAAAGGGCAATCCAGTAATTAATACTCCCTACACCATACGTACATACCGAAAAAGAAAAGATTAAGTTCATCCATCGCTAATTCTAACGTAACTTCCGGTCTCCCCACTGTGGTTCCTAAATTTCATTACGCTGCGCACTTAACTTTTCTCTCCTAAGTTCTTCTGTTATTTTAATTCTGTAATGATTTCTTAATTCATGCAGAAATCAATCCAAGCCTGCCAAAGAATTTATGTTATTACAATGTTTGTTTAAATATTCTCTGTAGATATTCCACTCTTTACTAAATACTTGATCTGTATGGTCTCAGAATCTTGCTAGTTCTGCATATTCTAGCATTTTATTTTGCCAGTCTAATTTTGAGGGAATAGAATCTCCTTTCCATACCTTAGCAATTAGAATCCTAGCTGCTGTTACCGCATACATAAAGATTTCCCTTACCTGTTTAGGGATTTCATTGCTCATTATGTCTAGCAAGAAGGCTTCGGGCCTCTTTGGGAAGGAACATTTAAACAATTTTTTAAGTTCATTGTAGATTGTTTCCCAAAATTCCCTGATATTTTTGCCGTTCCACCACACGTGGATCATGGTGCCTTCCGCCTCCTTGCATCTCCAACAGATGTTTGATCTAGATTTATACATTTTGGGCAGTTTTACAGGTGTTAAGTACCATCTGTAGAGCATCTTCATGAAATTCTCTTTCAAATCATAGCACACTGTGAATTTTAGGTCCTCCTTCCACAACCTCTCCCATGATTCCATCTGGATGTTGTGCCCAAAATCTCTGGCCCATTGTACCATGACAGATTTTACTTCTTCCTCCCTGACCTCCCAGTCAAGGAGGCACCTGTACACGTTAGAGAGTGTTTGTGTGTGTGTGTTTATTAAACAGTAATAATAAAAATTAAAAAAAATTATTTGTACCCCACCCTCCCTGGCCAGAGTCGGGCTCAGGGCAGCTAACACCAGTAAAATTACAATAAAAACATAATGGGGGGAACCGACCAATTTAAAATGCAGGTTAAAATGCAATTTAAAATGCAGCCTCATTTTAAAAGTAGCCCATAGATCAAAATCGTAAGGGGAGGGAAACGTAAGGGTCAGACTGAGACCAAACCAAAGGCCAGGCAAAACAACTCTGTCTTGCAGACCCTACGGAAAGATGTCAAGTCCCGCAGGGCCCTAGTTTCTTGTGACAGACCGTTCCACCAAGTCGGGGCCAGTACTGAAAAGGCCCTGGCCCTAGTTGAGACCAATCTAACCACCTTGCGACTTGGGACCTCCAAAATGTTGTCATTTGTGGACCTTAAGGTCCTCCATGGTGCATACCAGGAGAGGCGGTCCCGTAGGTACGTGGAAATCTTGAAATTTCTGTGGAAAAGCCTTTCTGTTTGTCCTTTTGGAATGTTTCATTTAACTGAAAATACTGCAACCAATCAGTCAAATGTGTCTGAATTGCTTCAAATTTCTTTAATTTTAGCTTATTTTCTTTTTCTTCCAATAAGTCTTTATAAGTTGCCCAATTACTTCTCTCATGCTGTTGTTTTAAACTGAGAACGCTTCTGCCAGGGACAGCCACCATGGCGTTTTTGGTTCTAGTAAGTCCTTATATTTGGCCCGCACCATGTAAAGCAATTTCCTGATCACGTGGTTCAAAAACCCTTTGTGGACCTTCTCATATCCCAGATGGGCATGCCAGCCGTATCTGTTATTGAATCCTTCTAGATCCAGCAAGTCGGTGTTTTTTAACGTGAGCCATTCCCAAATCCAGGCGAGACAAACTGCATCGTGATACAATTTCAGATCTGAAATAGACAGTACTGATCTAGGTGGGTGAGTGAAGCAGCTTCCTCCATCCCTATTTAAACCAGCCCTTTCTTCAGAACCCTGAGGACTGAAATCTCACTGTTGTTTTTAAGGGAAATGCTGTAGTTTTGCAGGAGAGCACCTGCTTCACCTGCAGGAGGTCCCAGGTTCAATCCCAGGTTCAGTGAGTGGCATCTCCATGCAGTGCTTGGAATGTGCTTTGCCTGAGGCTCTGGAGTGCTGCTGTCCTTCAGTGCCAGCAAACTCCAGCTTCATTGGAGTTCTCTTGTTTTGAGAGAGGGAGAAAAACTTTCTCTTTCCTTTGTGCCTTCCATCATTTTATACACTTCTGCCACGCTGCCTCCTACTCACCTTTTCTCCAAATCAAAAAGTCCCCAGTGCTGCAGCCTCCATCCGTTGCTCTATCCTCCCCTTGGTCATTCTGACGGCCCTTTTCTGAACCTTTTCTAATGTGTGGGAATGCTCAGGGATGCAGGAGAGGATATATTGTCTGATAATAGCCTTTCCAACATGTGTTAACAAGTTCACAATTTAGCAGAGTAACATTCTCCCTTTTAAACTTGCAGCGGATGCATTTGCTCAGGCTCGCTAAAACCTCTATAATAACTGTTCTGGTATTTTCCCCTTATTCCCTCATAAAAGATAAGACACGACACAGTCTTCTATAAAAGTATAAAGAGAGTTTACTCACATATCATTCTGTTCACAATAGGATTCCAGAAGGCATACTTAGCTTAGAAAAGTAACATATACCTGGAAACTATCTCATAAGAAGACAGTCCCTTTGTCATCTCTTGGCTGGAAGCCAAGAGGGCATCTTTGGCTAAGCAGATGTTGCTTCTTCGATGCATGTAGTCAAAAGGAGAGAGATGGCTGCCCTGCCCTGTGCTTTTGTCATTACCTGCTCAGGTGAGGCCACACCCACCTCTAGTCACATGCAAAGGAAGTCTGTCCCAGCCCAGAAGGAAACAGGAAGTTTACCTGCTGGCTGAACAAACATTCCTCCCCATGTGTAAACATGTTCACTCTAGGAATGTTGTACTTGACTGCTTTTGTGTTTCACATCCCACACAATGCCCTCCCCCCCTTAATGGGAAAAGTGCTTATAAACACATACATACAAAAAAACCCCAAACAGATTTATTTATTTAAAAAGATCAGCGGCCACAAGAACAACTAAAATGGTTATATCCACTGACCTGACACATAAAGACACCTGCACTTAAGTTATTTCGGGGGGGGGGGAGACCCTTATATCAACTTATATGCCAAATGATCTTACGCCTTCACAGCAAATCAGGTTTGGATGGTCTTTCAGAATTAAGGGCAGAATCTTAATGTTTAAGGGTATCAGAAGACAGTGTCCAGAGGTCCAACATTTTGAAACAATGACCATTTTCTTCATGGTTTCAGCCAACCCACAGTGGAGGAGCTACAAGTACAACTCCATCTCCTCGGACAAACAGCATCGGAATACAGTGGTACCTCGGGTTACATACGCTTCAGGTTACAGACTCCGCTAACCCAGAAATAGTACCTCGGGTTAAGAACTTTGCTTCAGGATGAGAACAGAAATCGTGCTCTGGCGGCGCGGCGACAGCAGGAGGCCCCATTAGCTAAAGTGGTGCTTCAGGTTAAGAACAGTTTCAGGTTAAGAGCGGACCTCCGGAACGAATTAAGTACTTAACCCGAGGTACCACTGTATTCCTTTTGGTAGATTTATAAATCTCTTCATAGGTTTCTTCATCCATTTCTATTGTTGTCACAGTCTCCTCAACATCACCCAAAATCTTATTTAAGTGCTGGTAACAAGCAAATAATCTGCCTCGAAGTTTTCGGTCATTTCTCATTTTTACATCAATTCGTTCATCAAGACTAAGCTTGATGAGATCCAAGGGCTCTTCTACAGTATTTGTGGTTTGTTGCTGCTCCACCTCGTCCGCCATTTTTTCAAAGCCCCTCCAATGCTCTTTTGGAGGTGAGGCCAGAATTCTGTGGTTCTAGGCTGAGTGTTGGAAGTGAGAGGGAGGGAGGAGAGATTTTGGCGACACCCCCAGAGGGCCCGCTGTGTCTTCCCAGTTAGCCTTGAAAAGGCCCTGTCTCATCTCCCCCTTGTGAGCGTGGCAAGAATAGGAGGAACAGGTGGCTGCCCACCATTGAGCTAAAGCCCCCTCTCACTGCTGTTGCTTGGCCCCTGCCCTCCCCCAGGGCCCCCCCTCCACACCCCACAGATGAAGTCAGGCCCAAGGAAGGAAGTTTGCATTGGCAGCTTTTGCCGAGTTTTCAAGAGCAGTGTGCATAGAGCAGGCACATTTTCAGGCAGGTGGGCGACAGCTTAAGAGGGATGTGCTTATCACTGCACCTTCACACCCGTCTCTCTCATCCTCCTACCCCTTGTTCTTTGGCTGAGCTGCTTGAGGCACCTTGGATCATGGTTTCCATGTCAGCTGAGCCCTATTTTCACCTGGGAAGGCCAAACAGATTAAGCCCCAATCCCTCCAGCTGGTGTTTAGAGAGGAACACAACAGAGTGGCTTTGAAGTGAAGGTTTGTTTAGGGAACATCAGAAAGTAAGAAGAAGATCGCTTGTCAGATATGGTTTATTTATCTTGCATAGCCTTTACCAGCCTGATGCTCATCTGCAAAGCATAAGGCTGGCAAGGTCAGACCCTGTTCATCCAGGCAGATGGCCAGATGAAGCTTATGAAGGTAGGAAGAGCCATTAGCTGGATCAGGCCAATGTGCTATCTAGTCCTGTTCTCACAGTGGCTGACTAGATGCTTGTGGGAAACCAGCAAGCAGGATCCTTGCACAAGAGCAGATCTCCCCTCCTGTGGTTTCCTGCATCTGGTATTCAGAAGCGTCGCTGCCTCTGACCATGGAGGCAGAGCGCAGTAATTGTGGCTTGTCTCCTCCTCCTCCTCCATGGATTTGTCCAAACCTCCATCAAGGCTCTCCAAATTGGTGGCCATCATTGCCTGCTGTGGGAGGGAGTTCCATAGTTTAATGTTGCGCTGCTTGAAGAACTACTTCCTTTTCTCTGTCCTGAATCTTCCAACATTCAGCCTCATTGGATGCCCACGAGTTCTGGTGTCATCATGCGAGAGGGAGGGGGAAAACTCCGCTTTCTCCACACCACATGCAATTGTTTATGCTTCCGTCAGGTCGCCTCCGGTCCCCTTTTCTCTACACTAAAAAGCCCCGACCGCTGCAGGCTCTCCTCACAGGGGAGCCTCTTCATCAACCTCAGCCGTTTTGCAGGTATCAGCCGATGGCTTGTGCGAGCTTTGCAAGCGACACCTTCCATGTTTGCGGCCTGTGTGCCCAGGAGGAAGTCCCTCCATTCAAGAGAGGTTACCCCATTCAATGCATCCCCCCCTTATTTCCCCTCCCCCTCCCCCCGCTGCAGATGTGAAATTCGTGGAGAATTCAAGTGTGGTGAAGGAAGCCCAGGAAAAGGCCAACGCAGCCCTGATGGAGTACACCCTCTGCAACTACCCACACGCCACAGACAAGTTCCGCCAGCTTCTGATACAGCTGGCTGACGTCCGGTCCCTGAGCATGCAAGCGGAGGAGTACTTGTACCACAAGCACCTGAGCGGGGACGTGCCCTGCAACAGCCTCCTGATTCAAATGCTCCACGCCAAGCGGACTTGAGAGCGCAAAGCAAGGCTCTCTGTCCCCCCTTCGTCTGGGGAAGAGACTCACGGCAGCAGAGGTGCAAGGGTGGTGGCAGATAGGTCAGGCCCCGGGATTGGGGGGGGGTGTAGGGTGACAGGGAAGGGTGAATGTCTTGTCATCCCCTCCCCACAGGCGACCTCTCCCAGTTCTGACTTTCATACATGCCATTGAGAAGCTCCAGGGCGCCTGGTTTCCCCACCAGGCAGCTGCGGGTGCAAACCCCAACCCTTGCCTGCATTTTGGTGTGATTCCTCCTGAGTTCCAGGCTCTCGCTCTCTAAAAGCCATGGGGCTAAGCTGTGTGGGGACTGCCCTTGGAGGCTGTTTAGGGGATGCTTTGGGTGGAGGTTGGCTTTCCTAACTGGGCGGGAGAGGAGTCTTCTCCCAGGGTGTGTGAGAGAGGAGGCATCTGCCCGAGCTCTCCACCTGCTCTCCAGGCATGGTCCTCTAGCTAGATGGCTGGGAAAAGATGGAGAGAAAAAGGCCCAGTACAGCTACCCATTGGAAGGCCCCCGCACCCCGTCTGTCCCTCTGCAGGTAGTGGCCAGGTTGGCCACAAGGATGATTTCTGTGGCCCATGGGCCACCATGAGAGCGAGTTTGTTGTGCCTCAGATACACTGAAACCACTCTCCCCCTTGGGGCTTCATTTTGGGAGACCTTTCTCCGAGGCCTTGCAGCTATGAGTTGAGCAAGTCTGGTGCTCCTTTTATAGTTTGCGTTGGTTATCTGTTAGTTGCATTCTCATATATATTTCCCTGTGGGTTTTGATTACACTTTGCAGCATTTTCTGCTCCACATATAATGTTTGGACTACTTTTGTGTGTCTCTTCTGGTTTGAAAGAGTTGGAGAAGACAGTTTGGAAGTGCCAGGCTCTGCCTGTATGTGTTTTTTTCCTTCTGAAATAAAAAGTGCTCTTAAGTGTCTCCCTTCTCAACATTTTACTCAGAAGGTCCTTCTGAGCATTGGTTAGTGGTGAACTATCTTACCAAATAAGACATTCCAATAAAGTTTTCAATTCAGTTATAGCTCTGTCTGTGCGTGTTTTCTTTTCCTCCCCTCCTCAAAAAAGTCTGCATCTTTGGTTGGGTACCATTCAGGGCGGTAGGCAGAAAGGCACTCTGCACCTGATCAGAGACTCTGCTCAATTTATCACTACATTACAGGTTCAGGGCTGAGTCCTGCCATGAGAGCATGATATGGGTGGTCAACACCTTGGGTGCAAGAAGTTTCCAGGAGCAGGGCCGCATCCCTATCTCTGCACATTTCTCTCCCTCTCTGAAGGACATCTTTTTGCAGCAGATGGTAGGCAGGCTATTTACAGACCTCTCATGGCTGAAGCTGTTTGAATAGTGTCCTCCCAAGTGAGCCTGGGAATAGCAGCAGTTGGGGGAGTTTGCAATTCTTATGCATGGACAGTTGGCCGGCTCTGTACGGAAAGGCAGGGGCACACACGCATGGACACGCATGCACACACACACCACCCTCCTCATAATCCTCAGCTAAAGACTCATTAGTCTCCTGCACTAATTGGCTTCAGTGGGCAAATGCTGGCCTTCTGCAATGGCATTTGTCTGGGCACCAGAATTAAAATACGAGCCACCATTTTTCCTTTTTTCCTTTTTTTTCAAATAATCTTTATTAGTTTTTCAATTAGATACTCCACATACACATATTGTATTACATTTTACATTTATACTTGCTCTTCAGAGCCCAGGTTTGGAAACAGCAGCAATTACCAACAGTAGAAGAATGGCGACAGAAGGTAATGGAATATGCAGAAATAGCCAAACTAACAGGGGAAAATCGACAACAGGGCGAGGAAACATTTCAAAAAGAATGGGGAAAATTTATGTTGTGTACAGGAAACATAAGATGAAATAGTAAAACCAGTAGAATTGGAAACAGACCTCATAACAGGAAAGATTAAGAACAGTGATGGATAATGAAAATAAGAAGAAGGGAAATGTATAAGGAAACTACGTAATATAACTAACAGGAGTGGTAAATGAATACAGACAGACAACAAGAATGGTATAAACACAAGGATTTAATCTGCAAGTATTTGGTTCTTTGCTTGCAACTCTCTGAGTTCAGCAAAGCCAAACAGGATCTATTGTCTTGATACACCTGTATAGGACATTTCACAGAAGCTCTGATGTCCTGAAGCAGTTACCAACCATTCACAATCCATGAGTGAAAATGACAGGGCATTGAGTTCTGCTTCACAGGAACTTAGGTTTACTGTTGTCTGCATTTTGAACAACCAGTCAAACAGACAATGGCTGTACATGTAGCATACTCCAGAAGTGCTTGTACCATCTGTGGTATCACTTCCAAAGCAAACATCTGCAAAGATTTCAAGACCTCCAGTCTTCTGACTAGTGAACCTCAGTCTGTAGTGCAAAGTCCCCTTCAAATAGCGGGCTATGCGCTTCAGAGCTTTCCAATCCTGAACAGTAGGATTGTTGGCATGTCTGCTAAGCAGGTTAGTGCTTACAGCTATGTCAGGTCTTGAACATCAAGCAATGAAATTCAGCTTGCCTAGAATGCATCTGTACAGTGTGGTGTACGACTAGCAGATGCATTTTAAAAATTATAAAAATTTATAATTTGGCAGATTGTTTGAACTATATGATATGTATTTGTATAATTTGGAATACTTAATGTGATTTGATTGGATTGTTAAAATGGAAAATTTAATATTTTTTTGTTTTTAAAAAGGAAAATTCCCACACACCCCCCCCCTTAGGATTGTACTCAACACTCTTTGTGATCCTAACGGACTGAGAGTCAGTCATGAATACCCTGTATGCACCTTTTTCGTACCCCATGAACAAACCATGTGCCCCATGCTTCCCAAGCTTGCTGCTCTGTGGGGTGTGGACCCACATGTCAGAACCAAAGATTCTCATGTGCTTGACACAAGGTTTCTTACCAAACATCTTCTCATAGGGAGTACAACCAATAGGTGATGACAATCTCCTGTTGTATGAATAAACGAAAGTATTCAAAGACTCTGCCCAATATTTCTCAGGGAGATTGGCATCATGCAACAAGGTTTTTAGGCCTTGCAGCAAATTTTGGCCTGTCCACTTGCAAAGTCCATTCTCCCATGGAGATCTGGGACTTGAGAGGTCGTGCTGGATTCCCTTCTCAGTCAGGAAAGCTTCAAACTGCTGAGAAGTGAATTCACCGCCTCGATCAGAAAATAAACAGCCAATGCGTCTATTGTGAGCATTCTCCAGCCAAGCACAGAACGCCTTGAACCTAGGAAACGCTTCTGACTTCTGCTGGAGCATAAACACATGAATGTACCTGGAAAAAGAATCACTTAAAACCATGAAGTACCTTGTTCCACCCAAAGAGGGCGCAAGTGGACCAACCAGGTCTGCGTGGACTAGCTGATAGGGTTTGGAAGCCTGTCTGCTAGAGACCTTGCCTTTGGGAGCAACCTTCACTTTGTTTTCTGCACAAGAGACACATTTCATGTGAAACTTACAGGGCTTTGTGGTTAAACCCTGAACCATCCCAGGCATCTTGGCCAGTGCCTGCCATGACATGTGACCAAATCTTCTGTGCTGTTCGTGAATACAACCTGAATGAAGAACTTTGTTAGTTTGTGCAACACAACAAGATTCAACATTAGACACATCAACAGTTTTGTCATCATAATTTAGCAAGAACAAGCCATCTACAAACTTAGCATGCAAAATGTCCTCTTGGCCCTTCTTAATAACGCAGATGCGCTTCTTGAAGAAAAATCTCAAAGTCTTGCTCAGTCAGCTGTGGGATGCTGAGCAAATTGTCTGCAGAATGTGGAACAAAAAGTACTTTGCTGATGGTGGTGTGCAGACTTGCCAGTTTCACTGTCCCAACTCCTGCAATTCTCAAAGTCTTACCATCAGCCTGTTGGATTCCCCAACCTGAGGCGTAAAGGAAATAAACAGGTGTCAACTTCCACAGATGTGCCTCGTGGCTCCAGAATTGACAATAAAATGGCCTTTGGCCTTTGCAGCAGCAGTGCTAGCAAACAAAGTCTTGTTTTGCACAGGCCTGGGTTTCTCACCCCCTCCCTGCTTCCAACCATCTGCAGGCTTTTTCTTTTGTTTCCCTTTAGCCTTTGGACAAAGACGCTGCAAGTGGCCTTCATTTCCACAGTGCCAGCACTTCACAGCTGCCAACACCTTGGCTCCCCCTGGAGGCTGGAATGCTGTCCCACACTGCTCCCCCCTGAAACACACAAGCTGGTTCCGCTGCGTTCCTCCTATCATATTCATTTTGGAGGGTCTCCAAATCCTTTGAAGCAGTGAGTTCCTGCGCAGGTAAAGTTGCCAGATGGCTTGCCACAGCATGGTAACTATCGTCTAGGGAATCCAGGATAAGGATTGCAAACAGAGACTCAGGCATATTAAAACCTCTCTGAGTCAATTCCTGTCTGAGATGCTGCAAATGCAAAACGTGGGCTCTAAGGTCTTTCTCTGGCCCCAAACGCTTCTTGTGAAGGAATGGGTTTCCCAAATCTAAAATCTGACTGTGCAGTCAGTCTGAAATGGGCCCCAAAATCCCCATTTTTCCTTCTCCATTTGCTAAAATGCATTAACTTGAGCACTTGAGCCAAGAACCCAGCTGTATAAACAAAGCTCTCTCCTTTATCAGTACATGACGCTTAATGAATGGCCTTGTCAGTTCCAAAGTGGAGACAGGATGGCAGAGCTGGGGCTTATCTTATCTTGTGTGTTGTAAATATCCTGACACACTGACGCACAGACCTTGCAAGACAGCCCCGTGCTCGGGAATGACGCCAGGAGTGCTCTTAGAGTTGGTGAACTTCTTACCCCAAGATAAGGAATACAGGAACAGGAACATCCTTTCATGGTCAAGAGTACAGGGACAGGAACATCTCTTTATGGTCATGGATGTCAACTTACGTGTATAAGCTGACGTGTCTGGATTCCTGGGGAAGGGGGGAGAGGGT